TGTTATTCATTTCACAAATGCGCCCCCCTCTTTGAACCTAGACATGGTTCCACGTGGCCACCAAGGACCCAGCCGAGTATTTGAGCAACCACAAGTTCAGAACGTCAGCTTTCAACATCTTTCACCACATAAACACCTATGAGGAGCAGGGTTTCATCGTGGTCGACCTCTGCACGTGGAAAGGGTGAGTGTGTGTCTGTGTGAGTGTTTTATGAACAGTGTAGCTGTCTCATCCTGACATCTCTCTCTGTTTTCCTGCAGCCATGACTTTGTGTATAACTACCTGTACCTGGCCAACATAAGGGAGGAGTGGGAGGAAGTGAAGAAAGCAGCGATGAGAGCTCCTCAGCCCGAGGTCAGACGATACGTACTGCCGCTGGATATACACAGGGTGAGTGCGCACACACACATATACACACACTGCAAGTTAGTAATGTCAACACTTCTGTATTTATTGGTTGAATGGCATCCTTTTATGAAGTTTTAATTTGAAATGTTTGTGTTGGAGGTCTTAAAGTCATCATAATTGCTTACATACAGAAGAAAACTTTACACATCTGTTTCATAACAGGTGCGTAAGAGAGAGACAAGTAGGACAAAATCTGCAGACAAACTCCCACGTGCTGTCTAACTTGCAAAAAACATGAATTTACTGCAACGTTTCGGTACTAGACCTCCATCAGGCAAATACTTTTGTGACAATGCGAAGCCATCTTAGGAAGGGAGTGGCTGCAAGACTGCAAGCAATCACATTCCCCAAAATGCAGTAGTAAGGCATTAATACCAAACATCAACTTACTATGTGACAGTCTACAATATCATGTAGCTACAGAAGCAAAACACTTTGTATAGTGACAACAATAAATTGCCCACAAAAGCCATAAAGGCTAAACTGCATTCTCATTGCCAAAAATTGTGGACAAGAAGCCCCTATACTACCATAAAACTTCAGTTAAAAGCCTAGTCCCAATAAATGCCCAGACCCTTTTACTAGCTCAGTGTGGTGACACATTTTGACAAATTAACGCCTGTCTCAATTAGATGCCTGGTCTGGTTGCCAAGCAGTTCAGTTTTATAGCAGCAAACAGGTTGTTGGCTTCTCACTTGAGGTAAGTTAGTTAGCTGCTTCGATTGCACATACAAATAAAAATGTTTAAACTTCAGTATGTCAGTATGGAGATGCTACACATTGTTAATTCGGTTAGATTCTTCACAATTCAATCGTCCATTTCATACATCCATCCATTTTCTAACCGCTAATCCTCTTGAGGGCCACGGGGGGGCTGGAGCCTATCCCAGCTGACATTGGGCGAGAGGCAGGGTACACCCTGGACAGGTCGCCAGACTATCGCAGGGCTGACACAAGATAGAGACAGACAACCATTCACCCCCTGCCTCTGAAGCAGTCATATAGTCAGAATGTGTGTCCTTCCATGATTACCCAGAAAGTTGCTCATATTCCTTCATATTCCATCAAACAAATCAAAAGGTTTTTCATAAAAATAAATCCTAGTTTTGCTTTTACAGGATAAAGTGGTGTTGTGTCTGTATGCCGGGTGCTGTAATCCTCGGGTGTCACAAAACAAGTGTCGTAACTCTCTCTCTCTGATGCACTGTCTCTCGAAACTAGACCAAATAAATTACTCAAAATTGATATATTATTGGAAGCCTAATTTTTATACAATATTCATACTGGTTTGAAAAAGCCTGTGTTCAGTGGTTTAGCAAATAATAGCCCAGGCTAGTAATTGAAGTGTAACGGTATTGTAGTGACACACTAAAGCTAAAGCGACGTGTCCCTGGCTAAAAAACAGCATCTTCAAAATTTAGTCCCGTCAGCTGTACTATACTCTGTATTTTGGTCACGCAGCATCCCCAACACAAACCTTTGGTGGAAATAATTTAGTAAGAACCTGCTGATTATAAAAGCTAACTTGTTGTTACTGTGACTGTTTAACCAGCAATGACTCAGCTCCACTTTGGTCTTGAGAAGCAGCTGATCCTGGATCAGTATTTCATTCATCAGACTTTTTGTACAAACCTCACTTTTTTTTTGCACTGGTGTATAAAATATGCTCCAGTCTACAGTGTGTGTGTGTGTGTGTGTACATCCATGTATGTGCTTGTGTGTTTTCAGGAAGAGCAGGGTAAGAATCTGGTGTCTCTGTCCTACACTACAGCAACCGCTGTTCTTCGTAGCGATGGCACCATCTGGCTGGAACCTGAAGTCCTCCTGTCGGGACCAAGACAGGGTAACACGAACACACACACACACACACACTGACTTACCTTCATTTCCTGGAGACTTACCCAAACCGTAACTGTAACCCCTACTTGCCTATGGCTAACCTTAACCCAAGACTTAACCCTAAAATGTAATGATTTACGTTATGAGGACTTGCGTTTTGTCCCTAGTTCAAATAAACACAAGAAATTTTGCTCTAGAGAAAGGATCAGCGCTCAGTGAATAACCTCCTAAGCCCTATGATAAGCTATTATAGCAAGGCTTAACTATACAGACCAGTGAGCAGTGATAACTAACATGTCTTTGGGGTCATCGGGTGGGAACCTCCTTTCACCAGAGTTTCGTCTAGTTGGTCCCACAACACCTCCAGGAGGCTAGACAGTGATCTCTGGCGTCCAAGAGACACTCCCCTAATGCCAGGTCTCACTGCTCCCCGCACCAACCCAATAATCTCCTTTACCTTACTTACACATGGCTTTCTCAGCCCAAACAGCACTGCCACCTTCAACCAAACCCAGGCTCCGATCATGCGAGCTCCAGGTAGAGACAGTGCTGATACTACCTTTCCTGGCACATTCACCATACTCTATTTCACATGCTCCATATCGTAACTCCAATATAAGCTAAAGTTAAGGGAGATACAATTAAGTCACAGAATCAGCAAACACACTCACCTTGCCGCATGGCCTCAAAAGTAGAAAGTAGTTTCTGGCACAACTTCACCGATTCACAAGGTGCATGGAGAGTGAGGAAACACTGGAAAATGTCAAAAGAGCTCCAGCAACACTTGTGGTATGAAAAACAACTTTACTGACCGACACGTTTCGGCTTGTGGCCTTCATCAGGGATTCAAATAGGCCCTAAAAAGTCCCCACAACGTGAGTGTGTAAACAGATTCATGTCTCCAAAGCATGAGTAATAT